TTTGACTGGAATATCTTTAATTTATTGATTACATTTGGTGCTCATGTAAGTGACAATTGTCATAATGAACCATTGACTTACAAATAAATGAACGACGGGCCTAATACAAAAACCACGAAAAAAATGTCCCAAGTCAACCAATTTAAACGTAGTGACATGTAAAGGAATATGAAAAAGCTAAAACGTTGAATTTAAATTGTAATGTCATCGCAGTACTGTCTAATTTTGCTTGCTTCGCTGTCAGTCGAACAAACGAAGACTAAAGCGTGAATGACGCTCTGTATACGATTTTAACGCCCTCTAAGTTCGGACACTTTTTAGCGCGTCCATATAATTAATTGTATGTCAATGTAATGAACTGACATAACTTTAAACCAAAAGCTTAATCTTTGTCAGAAGAAAGCAAGCAACCTTAAAGCAATCTCAAAATGTCATATTAACGTACCCCACTTCAATGGCTTCATATGAACACATCGTGAAAGTGCGACGGGGAACATTCCCAATGAGAACTTGCCTGAGATTTATTGCCGCAACTTGTATTCACGCCCGACACAGTTTAGGAAGAACTGCGATCTTAGAATGTATAAGGAGGAGTTACAGGCGGCAATATTGACGCGACGCGTGTATACGCGCCGTAGACGTGATGTAAACGCGCGTACGTATCGCGCATTTTGATAAGAGATAGAGTTAATTTTAGTTTTGTTTGTAATTTCAGTTAATTTTTGAAATGAAGCAACTACATGAAATTCTATATAGGCTTCTTGCTTGTAACGCGATGATTGCGTGCGTTTGAATCGATTCACTACAGCGCGTCAGCGCGGCATGTTACGCGCAGATTACGGCGCGTATAAAATACGCTGTGTCCAAAAGTGGTAAAGTTTTATACGTGTCTGAGACCGAAACGAAAACTTTAATTAATCGTTTTAATACAACATTTAGCAACTAGTTGTTAAAATCAAACTACATAAAACTAATAAGCAGCATAAGAGATCAAATTGTATCTTTTTTCGACTACCGCCGCGAGAGCTAACCTCTGCAGAATTCTCTTCTGTAGTTACAAATAATAATAATATATTAATAATATACTTTTATTTACAAAAATAACATTTTCACTTTTCATACTCTAAAAGTATATCAATATAGCCTTACGTAGCGGGAGAAAAGTGTATTCCTAGGGGGTAAAAAGTACTTACCTGGTTTTTTAATTTACCTCGAGTGACTTAAATAAACTAAATAAATAAAAATAAAATAAAATATCTTTATTCTCAGACAACTAAATGGTCCATAGATTGTTAGTAAACAAAACCCTTAATAACTTTGTTAGTGTAGTAATAATAATGAACAGCAGATACACTACTGTCGGCTCGGTCACCGATGCGCACGTGTAGCGTGCAGCTCGTTGAACCTGCCTAGCATAGCACTGTACAGCCTTCCCGCGACAACTTGCAGGAGACTGTTGGCGCTTCCCCGCACTCTGCGTATTAATGAGGCAAAAAAAAAGTCGTCTGTGTGCGCAGCAGCAAACATACCTGATGCATTGCAGTGACGAGGAAGCCCCACCATCAACCGGAACATGTTGTTATACAATATGCGCAGGGCGCTATACGATCTTTGAGTATAACTAGTCCATAGACTGCTGGTGTAGAACGTTTGGCAATATACCTTCAAAAGCGTGACCTTGACATCAAGTGAACAACCAGCAAATCTCCGAGCCAGCATATTCCCCCTTACTGACAGCGCCCTGCGTTCCCTTTCTATATCGCAGTCATCTTTCAGGTCTTCGTTCACAATGTGCCCAAGGTACCTAAACTGCGCAACTCTTTGCAATAGCGAACCATTGAGGTAAACAGGAGGTCTGTTTCTGCCTTTATATACCACTAGCTCACTCTTTTTGGAGCTGTACTTCAGACCATGTTTTTCAGCATAAGCCTCACAAATAGCCACTAATTTACGCAAACTGCCAACCTTGGGCCCCAGCAGCACCATGTCATCGGCGTAACTTATATTATTATATTAAAGCATACATGCTCTATGTGGCATCCGACATAGGTGCCGCTAAGCGCCCTGATTAGCTGGTCTACATAAATATTAAAAAGTCTTGGAGAGGTTAAACCCCTGCCTCACCCCGCACTTGAGTCTATATTGATCAGATAATACATTGGCCCATTTTACATTATTCGTCTGATTTTGGTACCAATACGACAAAATACTAACCAGTTCGGCAGGGACAGCCCTCTCGAGCTTTTCCCACAGTACATCGTACGACACAAGGTCAAAAGCTTTAGAGAGGTCCAGGAAACAAGCGTACACGGGGGTCTTTCGATCTAGGTAGTATTTGACAGTGTGCTTGAAAGCCAATATTGCACTCTCAGTGGACAAATCCGCCCGGAAGCCAAACTGGGCATCGTGTAGCCTGGTGTGTTCACCAAGACGACGGTCAAGCACACTATCAAATACTTGACTATCACAGTAGCAAGAGATATGGGTCTGTAATTTCCCTTGAAAAACTGTCAGTTCTTGCTCTACTATGTGCCAAAAGATAAAAGTTCAATAAATGAAACAATATAATTACAATTAAAATAACACATAAAAATAATCACAAAAACAAAAAAAAACAATAGTTATTTGTTATGCAAGGCTGCAAAGTTGTTGTTTGACGCAAGTGCTTGTATTGCAACCCGAGCAAGCGAAGGAAGCTAAGATTGATTACGAGTGAAGAGAGTGGTTAAAAAAATAAGTTCCTGAGCGTAGCGAGGGTTTCAAGGCACGAGACGCAAAACAACTTTGCTGCCGAGCGAAATACACAACTTTTCACCTCACTATAGCGAGGGAAATGGTAGATGAAAGAAAAACAGTTGAACTTTAAAACATCAGTTTTTTTAATTAAAAGAAAAAGTTAATCTTCGGATGCGTTCTGAATTTACACCTCATCAATTTTTATCCTTGCTTGTACTTTTATTTTGGTTGTTTAAGTGATTATTGAAATTATTTTAGTTCCTCGACGAATTAAATTAATTTAATTTTCACAATTAGTCATCATTGTCAATTTAATGTCAACAATGATAAGTATAAAATATACCCACGTATTTATATTATCTAACTAAGTAATCTACGACAAATCGCGTAGTTGAACGTGTCATTATCTTTTTTTTCATCGAAAGAAAAAGTTAGGGGTACGACAGTACATCGTCAAGTTCGAATTTCAAAAACATTTTCCATAGCGTGCAAAAAAGCTTTTGCACGCAGATTTGTAATGAAAATTTTTTTTTTTAATAATTTTGGCTTGGATACAAGTCCTTTAAGCTATGTCTTCGTTTAATTATGTTTCTGTAAATATGGCCGCAACAAAGAGGGTAGGCAATTTGAGGCGGCGTGCTTGGTTTTACTCGGGATTCCTTAGAACGGGCCGATACGGGTATTTTAGTTCGAGATTCATATAATTTCGCGATTAAATCTTCGATTAAGGCACAATAGCACTATCCTATTCCACTTTAAACTAGATTTCACAAAATAATTGAAAGTCAAAATAAAAACGACACTTTTCCCTCCAAAAGGTCCAGAGCGAATTGAAAATGTTATTATTGCTTCATAACAGCATCAAATTCGATGTTATTATTACATTCAAATTTCGAACATCTCTGAAAAACAAAACAATTTGATTGGACCTCAATTCTAATATCAGTCGAGATAAAGTTTGAGCGAATCTCTAATGAGAAAGAATGTCTTTCCGAGCTAGTGAGGTGAAAACATAATTAAACATTATAATATATTTTTTCAATGAAATGTAAGTGCGCATTTGACCTCCATTCATCAAAGTAAATAAACCTACAGTTCCACAGAGATCACTGCGCTGCCGAAATTTGATAAAAATGTGCTTGTATGTGGATCATTTGCATTGCATTGCATTGCACGCTCGGTTTTAGTTCCGAGCCTTTTTCGCATAGTCGATGGCGCCATGTTATTTTCCCGCGTTTGTGTATGGATAATTTTAGTGACGCGACGTAGCACTTAAATCGTTCGAACGAGGCTCAGGATTGGCAAAGACCGCTAATCGTGGCGTTTTGTTGCGTTTGTTGTATCTGTTTGGTTGGAAAAGTTTAAGTGGCTTGATTGATTTTGACATATGAGGTGTTATTAGATTCGTCTTGATTGCGGGAATGTCAAAGGCTATAAAAAAATCAAAATAGTGAGGCTCCCCCTCACTCAGGGAGTTCATTCTTTTTTATATTGTTTTTGCAGCTTTTTTAATAATATTGTTTAGACTTGTTTCATTATAGTCTTTGGAATGCAATTAAAGAAATTTTTGATTTTTCTCTCCAAGGATCTGAAACAACAATAACAATGGCATTACCGCAGTAAGTTATGGTGAAATATTAACAAGAATAGACTGCATGGTGGAAACCACATCCGAATATTTCAAATCTCATGTCAAGAACCGGAACAGGCATTTGTGTAACTTGCTAATTACTTTGTCAACATTCTTGGCTGCGACCCGTTTCGCTTTGGTCCTTTGTGGGACATGAGAACTATCCACGTACACTCCAACACGCAAGACGTGGAAATTAAATGAAAAATTAACCGAGGGTAATCTGAAAAAGTGTATGAATCAAGTTCTTAGGTTTTCGCGATTGTTACACATAGGAAATGAAACAATTTTTCCGGATTTAAATCGCGCATATTAGTTTGTCGCTTATATTGGGTCAAATGTGATCATGGGACCTGTAAAGGGCCCGAAACGTCGGTTTGTTTGAAAAAACAAATATACGTGATTTAAATCTGGAAAAATAGATTCATTTCCTAAGTGTATGAATCGCTTTTGATGTAATAAACTTAGAATAATAACGCATAGAAACCTAGTCCGCACACGCTAAGTGAGGCAAATTGAAGCGCGCCCAAAGGGCTACACGAGCGGGCGGGTCTTCAGTGCTCAAGGTCACCTTGCACCGCGAACAGATCAAGAATTTTAGCTAAAAATGACGAAATGTGCGGTAAATGAGTGTAAAAATACGTCAGACAAACATAAAATAGATACTAACATCACATTCCACAAGGAAGTAACGCGTTTCAACTTGTATTTTTATAGAAATATTTACTAAAACCGAAAATTAACCTACTACTAAAACTAGCCTGCATGAAATTGGATTTTTGCCTCACTTGTGACAGTTCGTTTGATATGAAACTATCATTCTATGCGTTATTATTCTAAGGTAATAAAAGCAAGAGACACCTGACCTCTTTCTCGATCTTTTGGTTCCGAGAGTCTAAAGGAATTCCAGCTTTTTGGTTGAAATTTTTATTTATGCGAAGTAATTAAAGATCAAATTGACTTAAAAAATTTCTTAAAGCGTCCTTCACTAATGATGCAGTAAGGAAGTCACATCAAATGGTATATTTTTTTTTTATCTAGGGACTAAGACGACGCATATCTATTACTTGAGGTGGTTAGCCACCCGATCTTTAGTGAGAGTTTATATTGTCTTTTAGTCTTGAGGTGAAAACTTTACTTTTCACTTCGAGTGCGAAAAAAAGAATACTTATTTCAGTCGTTTACGCCCTGCAACAAAATCACGAACCAGCATTCTGAAGTTTTCGTGGTTTTTTTTTCCAACCAAACATAGACACAACAATCGCAGCGAACGCCACAGACTGTCTTTCGAACGATTTAAGTCAGGTTGTTAGAATTATGAATACGGATTCGAACCGACGTCTTCTAGCATACCGTGCCAGACGCTATACCAAGTAAGCCACGGAACGAACCAGCGGATCTCACGAATTTTTCTATGTGCTTGTTGTCGTGTCTCTGTATCTGGTTGTTAACGAATTTTTAGCTGTAGTGCCATCTATGAGAAATCTATGAAAATATTTCGTCATCCAGTTAGGCACCTTTACAGCTGCCAGTCCTGGCTAGAGTCCTGTCAGGTCTCATGGTCACAGTCAACCGTAACCATGGCACCTATAAAGGGCCCGAAACGTCGGTTTGTTTGAAGAAACAAATAAACGCGATTTAAATCCGGAAAAATAGTTTAATTTCAAACTACAATAATTTATTAATAGTTCATTATTTATTTTTATTATATTTATGATCATTTAGCAGCAGTAGCGCTCCTTGTAAAAGAGATTTCGTACAGGAAAGTACTGCTATTACTTCGCTACTTGCTACTGCTATTACTGCTATTACTTCGGTGCGGTTTGAAAGTTAGGTAAGGGTGCTGGTGAAATTACAGGCACATGGGATGTTTTGTTAAAATATTATTTTATTTATGTACGTAATTGTGTTAATTGTACTTTTCAAGTTAATAATACGAGTATTTATTTAAACTGAGATAAGGCCGAAAATTTAACTTATAATTTAAGTTGATCATGTATTGTATTGTCTTTGTTTAATATTTTTTTCTGCTGTGTTGAATAATATGATAATGCTGTGCGCAATAGTTAATGGATCTCTCTCTCATGTGTCTAATCTATCAATATTGGTTTGTATTCTGTAGTTGTGCCAATAAATAAATGAATAAAACCGTATCCGCAAACGAGATCCATGTCCAGCAGTGGGACATAGTGAGTTGAAACAATCGATAATTTTTCATGTACACTTAGGTGATAATTATACATATAACATCGAAAGTACTATGTCTCCGACTGTACTTCACAAGTAGAGTTTAATTACATTGTAATTGCCCCAGTTACAAGCCTTACAGTAAATCCGTTGAGAAAGGCAAAGTTTGCCTTTTGTCGCGTTCGCGTTGGTTTCTCGCCCGACCAACTCCTGCGCAATAGTTTTGTCACAGTTTCGTACTAATTGTAATATTTGTTTCGGATCATGTCGCCTGAATCATGAATCATGAATGAACGTTACCTATAGCTTTCTACTTATTTTTATTGTGAATTAAATGAATACCTATAAATAAAACAAAATATTTTCAACGACTTCAATTTAAAAAATAATGATATTTCTCCGAGAGCCGCGCCCTAAAGCATCGTGCCAAGGA